GTTCGTTGACGACGATATTTAGTCATAATTTTCGTTGACGAAAGCAACACTACTGCAGTATTAATAATATTGCATTTTCTCGTCTCTTAGAAATGCACATTTGACGGTAGCTTGAGTTGACAGTAGCAGCTTGAGTTTGGATGCAGATGTACATTTATGTTCATTATCACAAACAGTAACATATGAAATGTAATTATTCTGACTGTTTTATTTAAATAAACCATTGGTCTTCTATAGTAGCATACATTTAGATCATGATAAACACAGTTAAAACCAAACATAGCACCTCAATACCATGGTAAAAATATAACTATATGGTTTCTATGCAATATTAATAATATTACATTTTCTCGTCTCTTAGAAATGCACATTTGACGGTAGCTTGAGTTGACAGTAGCAGCTTGAGTTTGGATGCAGATGTACATTTATGTTCATTATCACAAACAGTAACATATGAAATGTAATTATTCTGACTGTTTTATTTAAATAAACCATTGGTCTTCTATAGTAGCATACATTTAGATCATGATAAACAGTTAAAACCAAACATAGCACCTCAATACCATGGTAAAAATTTAACTATATGGTTTCTATAGTATTTAAATGAAAAACAGTAGTCTAAATACATTTAGTATAAATGCACAAACGCTGTAGCTTAATCACATATAATATATATATATATAGTCATCATCCTGGACTGATATTAGACTGATCTGACAAAACTGGACATTCAGGATTGTCTGTGGCCTACATTTCAGATTCTTTTGTGGATGCATCACATGACATGATCAAAGAAAATCATTGGTTTTGAAATTTGTTGAGGTGTGAGGCACACAAAAGACTTACCCGTCCACCTAGACACAGCCTCTTTTGCTGTAATGTTTGCCTTACCTAGAAAAAGGATGAATATATTAGCAGTGCCATACTTGTCAGGTTACATTGTGAAGTCCAGTTTAATCAGTTTTTCTCTATTGATGAAAATATCCTTTAAATGTAGTCAATATTTCATCAAGTCATTTTGCTCTGACTAAAAATGTTATCTAATTTTAGTTGATGAAAATAACAATAGTTAAGTGAAACTGAAAATGCACAGAAAGTCCACAAGCGAGACTCATAGGAGCAATTAAACAAGTGACTTTCCAGGAAATCCCGTATACGGACAAATGAATCCAGCTATCGCTGTAGCCGAATAAAATGCAGAAGAAATGTTTGACTGATGAAATGTGAAGAGAATTAACACACCATTGCAACAGTACAGTATTTGGTTTATCTGTGTTCTTCAAGCAATCTCAGGTATTTTTCATTAGGATAATGTATATTTATAATGCAATGCTAATTGGCTTAGCCTTTATCACTGTATAGAATACTATGAAGTTATATAATTTCTACCTCATTCTGTGATACGAAGCCACATCAGTTCACAGAAAGAAGTTAAAAAAAATAAAAATAAAAATAAAAGCTGAATTTGACTAATAGCATTATTTATTTTTTCAAGATTCTATAAATATTATGAAGTTATATAATTTCTACCTCATTCTGTGATACGAAGCCACATCAGTTCACACAGAAAGAAGTTTAAAAAAATAAATAAATAAATAAAATAAAGCTGAATTTGACTAATAGCATTATTTATTTTTTCAAGATTTCTATAAATATTGCGATATGTCATTATTGTGAGTTCTTTTGGCCACAATAATCGTGTAGTGAAAAATCTGATATCGTGACAGGCCTAATTACATATATACATTAATAAAAAAAATTAAACGCATGTGAAAACCCGGAAATAACAATCTAATTTTAGTTGATGAAAAGAGTAAATCAGTAGTTTAGTACATTTTTAAAAATGAAAAAGAGTTACAATGTTAATAACTGTGAAAAGGGATTTGTTACAGAAACAGTGTTTTCGAACAATGTGACGAACATTCTGACTAGCGTGTAACTTCAAGTTCACCTGTGCATTTGCATCATTTTGTGCAGAAGTTGTGCTTAACTTGTGTGTATGCCTGAATAATTTCATGCGTTTGAGTTAAATAACCCGCTCAACAGCTGTTCATTCGCTCTTTAGCTTCAGCTCAAAACTATTAGATTATGAAACAATCATATTCTTTTTAGAATGGTCTTTTCCAAAAAAAAAATGTTTTATCAACAGTATGTTTAAGTAATAATTAATTAATAATCATCATTAAAATAAAATAAAAAACTCTTCTTAATTTCTCTGATGAGACTGGTACATTGACAACATCTCAACTTTTCGACTTGACTTCGCAGATCCTACACGTGATTTGTAAAACTGAACGATTCAAAGCCCTGCAGATGGTTGTGCATCACGCTTGCTAGTCTCTCTTCCACAGATCTTCTTCTGAGACAGTTAGCAGAGCCACTCTGAGATATAATCCATCATACTGAACGTGCTGCCCAGACCACGTCAGTTTCAGAGCTAGATTGACAAATGCTCAAAAGTAGGGATGCACCGAATGTTCGGCAACCGAAATTATTCGGTCGAAAATAGCAAAAAAAACAGAATAAATTGTACTGAACAATGATATGACACGATCAAATAGCAACCAGCGCAGAGTGAGAGGCGCGCACTCTTTATTATGCAGCACACACGTCAGCAGTGTGGAAGTATTTAAACTGTCTGAGAAAGACGCAAAAGTCATTACAAGCACCGACAGCGAGAGACTGTTTAGTGCTGCATATAAAAAGTAAGACAATAATAATGATAATAATCATTACAACAGCTCTGTTTTAATACATTTATTATAACATTCACACAGTGTTCAAATTAAGATCTGTAGTATTTTCTAATGTTTTAAAGGAAGTCTCTTCTCAGCAAGGCTGATTTTAATTGTACAGTAAAAAAAATAAATAAACACATGCCTGATTCAAGAAGGGGGTCTGATGGCCAAAAATTATTATTTTACTAACTTATTAATTTTAAGTTAAATTGTGCTTTGTTGGTATAGTGTCTGCTAGAATGTTAAAAATGTTCAGTGTTAAATATTTTTTAATTGTTGTTTTGTAATAGATTTTTTTTCTTTGAAAAGCAAGACAAAACAGTAAAAAGCACATTTTGGCTTTTTTAATTTATGCAATGGTGAAAAATAATTTGGCAAAATACATGAGGAAAAAAACTCCGTGTTCGGTATTCGGCCTTCGTCCCGTGTTTAATTTTGTCCAATTTCGGCTTCGGCCAAGAATTTTCATTTCAGTGCATCCCTACTCAAAAGCTATTCCAAGGTTTTGAAACAAATCCAGTCTGGGAAAAGGCAGATCGATCTGTAATCTTAATGCTCTGTGTTCTCCCTGTGCGAACTGACTTGACAGGAGGCAATAGAACAGGTCAGGTGGTGAATGGAAATAATGTTGGGCAGTGCTTAAAGCGGTCATGAACTGCCTTTTTTTATTATTTTGTACTGTTCTCTGAGGTCCACTTATAATGTTATCAAGAATTTTACATCAATTGTAGACTTGGAAGTAACTGCTATGATCGGCATGTATGTTTGACAGCCTACAGCCTTCATAGATGGATGCTGCTGTGATTTAGGTTAAAAACGCACAAATACTCAGTACATATCAAACGATCTGTAATAACAAAGCAATAGTGAGCACGTAATAAAAACAGTTACTCACACACACTTGTGTGATGCGGTATTACTCTCAAATCCAATATATTCGTCACAGCATCGTCTTTTAGTTTTAATCTTTCTGAAAATCCTGCGCCGAATTGCGCCTTACTAGTTATTACTAGTGTAAATTTCGTTAACGAAAACTATGACAAAAAATGTTCGTTGACGAGCTTTTTTTCCATGACTAAGACGAGACGACAATAAGCTCAATAAACGATAATTGTGACTATATCAACATGCAATATCGTTGGCGATAAAAGACGAGACTAAAATGTATTTCAAAAATAAAAACTATACCAAAATTTATTTTTATTTTCGTCGGAAAAAAGGAGACAACACTATTGCGGACTGCTGTACGCGCCTCTACTACACGAGCTTTCATGTGTGCGGTTGCCAGATATCAAGAGTTCAAATCCGCAAATCAGAGCTTCTCTGTTAAAAGGATACATTTTTTGCTCCGGTTTTGCTTATTTTTTGATGAATGATGATCTGAAAACACTGACAAACAAGCTGAAGTTTAGCGCTCTCCATGTGAGTTGTTCGGCTTAAATAAAAGTGTCGTTTAGCCGGTCTATGTTTTGTCATGAAATCTACACTATTTTAGTTTGTGATTGTGTTTGCTGAAATAAATGCACTTACTCAACCGCTGCCGTTTTAATAGAGAAACATTATTGCGATTCAGAATTTTTCTGTTAAAACATTTTTTGTTTGTTATTACCAGTTTTCATAATGTAGACAGAGAGATTGCATATCTAAGTCTTTGATATTAATTTATTTATTAAATTGCATGTAATAAATCAGTACACTAGATGAGGTCAAATAAAGTCCACATTCTATTGATTTGTGCTTATTGGTGAAAGTGCAATACCTGAAATATAAAAATACATTTCTCAAATGACAACAATCTTTTCAATTATAATTTTGTGCAAAAAAAAAAATAAAAATTTTTTTTTAAAATCATTTTAACTATTATACAGCATGACGGAAATGTGACGAAAAGTTTTCATTGATTAAAACTAGACTAAAATGCTCAGATGTTTAGGTCCGGTTTCATAGACAGGGCTTAGCCTAAACCAGGATTAGGCCATAGTTCAATTAGGACACTTAAGTACTTTTTTATAAACTTGCCTTAGAAAAAAACATTACTGGTGTGCATCTTGAGACAAAACAAAGGCACTGATATATTTTAAGATCAATCAGTGCAAGTTTCTTTCATCTGAAACAGCTCAGACTTACATTTTAGTCTAGGACTAGACTTAAGCCTTGTCTGTGAAACCGGGGGGTTAGTCGACTAAAACTTGACTAAACAAACACAGACAGGACAAGGTCGACTAAATATGATAATAACTAAAAAGTACATTTGACACCAAGACTAAGACTAATTTAAAAGACTAAAAGACAAAATGAACACTACTCAGAATTGTGTGAGATTGGTCTTCTGCTAAACATATTGGAGTACCTCAGGGAGATGCAATAGTTCAGACAATTTTACAAGTGATTAAAATATAGACATAACAGCAAATCCCAAGAGGCAGAGAAAGCATCAAGTATTTCAGCAGGGACTACTGACATTTTCACAGCATTTAAACTGCAGGGGTTGCTAGAGAGACGGAGCTGCAGGGATGGGGTGATGAACGAGACGGATGATGCAAAGAGAGGTTACACAAATGTTATTTTCTCTCAAGAGACGCGAGTCATTATCTCCACCAGCACCTGAGAGAGATGATTATTCGCGGCTGATCGCATGACTGTCTGGAGAGGATCAGAGCTGGATTTGGCTGGGAATGTGCGATAGGTCAGGAATATTATAAACAAGGCAACGAACATTTGTGTAGAACTTCAGCTGTGTGTTGGTTACATGGTATCTACATCTACAGTTTCTTAAATCAAATCTAAAACTTTTTAAGACCTGCACTAATAAAATCAATACCACATGTCCATACAGATCAAACCTATACAATGTAAAAAAAAAAAATAGTAAGTCATGCATCTCAGATTATTTTACTTAAACAGGCTGTGGCATGCATTCAACAAGGTCTTACCAGCAAACCATTCAAATCCTCGACTTCTTGTATTCAGTATATACGTGTACTGAAACTGGTTTATGTTCTAATGCATCAATACATGCAAATTAGAGGATGACTGATATCTAAATCAGGTGAGTTTACAATGGATTAAATGCCAGATACAGCTTTTTGTGTGACCCAAATACCAATAATATCCCAAAAAAAAGGATAAACTGTAGACTGTATGCATAATGCAAACTTTTAATTATAAACGAGCCCAAAATACACAGTGACTCTTAATTTGAAATGCATATGCAATACTACTTTAAGCTGCTCGTTCAAAAATGAGGTTGATGAGGGAGTTGCATTTTTGCAACCATTATATTACAACATATTACAATATACTGTGAAGACCATGAAGTAAACATTGTTATGATCCATCAACGGTAGATCATAAGTAATTGCTAGCATTGCTAGAACATGCAACACTGAAATGTGTCAGATAAAATTCAGGCACACAAAAAAGTCTTTAGCGCAGTTGACTAGTGAGCTTAGAACTGTTAGTGGTGGTGCATTTAACCAGAGATGCAATTCTCAAATAACTGAGCGAATGGAGAGCATTTTAACTTCTCTCCCTGTGAAGCTTAGTCTCTTAAATCATCTTCTTTACAGGGCTCTACAGTGCGATCACAAACTCCTGCATACGGCGACTATGAAAAAATATGTGCGACTGACCTGATTTGTGCTTGCGCTCAGGGGAGCATCAAAGGTTTCTATTTACAACGTGTTTTTGCAGCGTTGAGTAATGCATCACAGACATATCTGTTGATATCTTGAATGCAATGTTCACTCACTGCTCAATACACCGGCGTTTTGTTCAGTGCTGAGTTATGTGAGCTCACGAATCCTCTCATTATAACAAAGTGTAAATAAGAGATGTCTTGTGCAGTATAGAGAGCTCTGATTGATTATAATGGAACTTTGTGAGATGATCGACAGCTTTTAATGATTATTAAGGGAGTTTGCAAATGTGATATTGATTTAATACACGTTTAATAAACAAGAAGTTAATATTAAGTGACTTACATTGTCTGACTACAACACTATTGCCTGATTTTGCTTTATTTCATCAACAAAAATAGTCACAGCTGAGCCGCTGCGCATCTCCAAGCAAACACAGCGCTGTTTCGTTTATGAATGAACGTGTGTTTTTAAACGAATCTAGTGAGTCAAGGATTCAATTACCCATTCATAAAGACAGTCACTTGCTTCCTTACTGAATGAATCAGCCGTTCGAACGAATCAATTGAATGAATGATTCAGTGATAAAATCAGTGACTTGCCGCCACCTACTGGCAGTTTTAGTTTCATTTTTAAAGTATAATTTCAGTTATTTAAATCATTTAATATTTAAATTTAAATAAAACATTAATCTCAACATGAATTTATTTGCACCCATGCCACATTAAACGTCTGTAAATATACCTACAAGCCACTTTTGTGTTCTTCTGTGCCATCTCTGTAGTGCAAATGATTTTTTTCATACTGATTTAATTTGATTGGTAAATGTTCTTCTTACTTGTTCTTATCCTATAGCCTTAATTAGAAATTTTGAAAAAAGCTTATAAATATACATTTTTGAATTTGACATAAAAAGATGACATACTTTTTATAAAGTTAGAAAAATGGCATTACAAAGACAAAAAAAAGCCCTGTAAATCACATTAAGGAGTCAAACATCACCTCGTAATGGGAAGGCTAATTTTCGTTATCGATCAGAAGGAGCTCCTGAGTTTTTTGACTATGCCTAACAAGAAAAGTAAGCTCTCAAGCACTGTTGCTATAGTCATCAAAACACCACTTCAGTACAAACGTACCCCCCTTCAACCGTAAATTTCAAGACAATTACTGTAAGGCTTCAGACTTGCTGTGAGCAATGCTTCCCTTACTATGCAGACAGAGTCTGTTGCTGACTCTTTATTGTGTGCTTCTCGCTCCCTGGTGTCTTATCAGAGTAATGCAGATGATTACTTAGAAAAAATGGAAAACAAAGTAAACGCAGCAGTGAAATCCTGCTGGGTTTTTTATATTAATGTGTGTACTATTTACACAGTTACATGCATGCTTTTAGGAGAACTAACCAGTCCGTGCAGAAATTATGAGTGTCATGGGAATGTAATTGTGAAATCAATTTAGGTTTGATAATATTAAGACATAGCAGAACTTCCTCTTTTAAGAAGAGGCAGAGTGAGCACTAAGCCTGTTAATCACCGTCTGGCGGAAGTCAAAGTGTAAGGGCTCAGGACGAGCCTCGGTATCAGTAATGAATTTCCACGGTTTCTCCTTGAATTCCTGTCATTTGTGAGGACTGTATAATAGTTCTCAAAAGTTACAAGACAATAAGAGTAATACTTTAGAATTTAACATAACTAGAACATTTATTTTGACTATATAAATTCACACTTTTAAATTTACATTAAACTTGATATATAACCCATCTCTGTATACCAGCAGACTCTCATCACAGAGCACAGATATACAGAGGTACTGTATTCGGAGATGGATTATAGTGATCAAACTATATATTTTTTTGTGTTTTGTTTTTTTGTGACAATGAAGCCAATATCTTAGGGAGCAAAGTGGCCAACTACAGACCTTTATAATTGTCTTATTCTTTAAAGCACATTCAACATCCATGTTATTTGGGGATGTATAATTGGGTTATTAAATGAAATTTAATAGGACTTTTATTTTGAAGGTACCAGAAGCAGCAAAATAAAAGCAAAATAAGTTGAAGCACTAAAATTACTAAAACTGAGATAAAAAATGACACTAAATTGACTTATTTTAAAAGGCAAAAACTAATATGAAAGAAAGCACATAACAAAATTACTAAAACTTTAAAATAAAGTTTGAAAATATAAAAATTCAAAATATTAATAAATAATACAATATCTCAAAACAATGTAGTTTTTACGATCATTTATAATTGTCTCTCTTAATCTTTAATCACTGTTACATTAAAAGCTACACTACCGCTCAAAAGTTTGGGATCAGTAAGACTTGTAATGTTTTTTAAAGAAGTCTCTTCTGCTCATCAAGGCTGCATTTATTGGATCAAAAATACAGAAAAAAAACTGTAATCTTGCAAAATGTTATTACATTAATTTATAATGGTTTCCATTTTAATATACTTTAAAATATAATTTATTTCTGTGATGCAAAGCTGAATTTCCATCATCATTACTCCAGTATAAAGTGTCACATGATCCTTCAGAAATCATTCTAATAATAAACGTAACATTCAAGTCTTACTGATCCCAAACTTTTGAGCGGTAGTGTATATATATATGATATCATACTATTTAATTTAAAGATAGAAAAAAACAGGCTGCAAATAAATGTATATTTATTTGACATATTACTTAATAAAAATTAGAAAATAATTTAATCTTTAAAAAATACATCTGTAAAATAAAATTAAAATTTTTTTAACTTAAGATAGCAGCGTCTTGATTCTGTAATTCTATCATTACAATTTTTCACAAATAAATAAATTGTTAAAAATATGAATAAAAAGGGTAAGATGTGAACTATTTAGTCCCTCTACGCTGATTTTCAGCATTATTTATATACAATTATAGTTTTTGCTCATATTTTTATTTTTATATTTTCAGTTTAATTTTGTTATGTGCTTCTTAATAGGTTGTTGTTTTTTAATTTGATTTTAAATTTATTTTTTATTCCAGTTTTAGTTTTATTCCTGCACACAGATCTGTGTGGTTTACTCACGGATCTCCTCCACCACCTGTGGATCACACTCTCTGTACTTCTCCAGTTCGGCCTTCAGCTGATCTCTCTGAGGTTTCAGTGCTGTGAGCTCCTTCAGGAGATCCTGTCTCTCCTCCTGAATGCACACAAAAGCGGCGTTCACACAGAGCCCACAGACATTAGAGCTGTACAGTAATCTAGAACACGCACATTAACTTCACGTCCCACTTTGGCTTTGTCAGCTGCTTGCTGAAGGGCTTTTTTACGCTGATTCCCATCCTCAAGCTACACAGAAGAAAAAGAAATCAATACTCTTATGCAAACAAGTCAGAACAGAAAGATTCAACCAGGATCTACATCATTGGAATGCTATTAAAGCATACACCATAAAAAAAGTTTACTGGTTAACTGTAAGTTACCGTAACATGGTGAAAAACTGTAAATGGTTTAACATCACATTATATGTGTATATTTACATTAAAAACGTGTCATATTTATGGCATAATATTGAATTGGTGAAAAACAGTAATAGGACATTCCCAGATTTCCCTGCATGACATATCACATATGGTTATATTTTATTTATTTTTTCATATTTTTGTTTTTGTTATCAGTAATGGACATTTGGGTGTTATGTGTTGCATACATTTTAAAGTAAGCAGATTTTGGAAGTTCAAGTAAATGGGTTTATTAGCATCATATATCTTAAAGGAACAGGTCACCTCAAAATTTAAATTTGATGCCATAGAAGATGTAGATGAATTTGTTTCTTCATCATGAGTGATATTATGGATTCCAGTAGACTTTATCCAGAAGCAACATTTTAAAGTAAAAAAAAAACCGTCTTGATGGATTTGTTTCAGCTTTTGTCTTCTCCAGATGTTAACTGATGGACTGGAATGCTGTGGATTACTTGTGATGTTTTTATCAGCTGTTTGGACTCTCATGCTGACGGCACCCATTCACTGCAGAGCATCCATTGCTGATACACTGATGCAATGCTACATTTCTCAGAATCTGAAGAAGAAACAAACTCACCTGCATCTCGGATGGCCTGAGTGGAAGCAAATTAACATTTTTGGCCGAACAATTCCTTCAAAAGAAATACAGCTATATGTAGACATCAATAAGCAATCCCATAAAACCTGAAACACTGTCACCGTATTATTATGGTTAATTTCTGGCAACCACAGCTGCCTTTTTTGACCATAAATCTAACTGGGTTTTTTTTACGTGAAAAAGCTGAATCGCAGAGTCAGATATCAGAAAGCAATGCCCTCACTTGTGTCTCCAGTTCCTCTAATCTGCGTTTACGGGCGTGCAGGGCTTTACTGGGGAACGCCCAGTAATAGTTGGAGGTGCCCACTCTCTCGGTGTCCACCATGTTATCATCCACCAGACTCTGCAACACCTCTTTCACCGACATGGGAGCTGGAGAAAAAGATTCAATCTTCACTGAAAACCTGAGATTCACTGATCATGCACATGCATTTTTATGTCTTGCAAACATAAGCATTGGGCTTTCTGGTGTTTTCTACATCGTTATTGCAAAATATGCTGATTTGTCAAAAGATAGCATGGCTAAAATAGACGATGCTTTGTCGAAATCTGTTTTGCATCATATGAATGTATCCTATGACAGTATATAGCTGCATAATTTCTGTTCGTTTTAAAAGAAAAAAAAACATTTTGTGAAGAAAAAAGGGGAAAAATGTAACATTCAATGCTAGGGATGTCCATTTCGGTTATTTTTCCTAACCGACACTTGTTAACCGATTTTATATATATAGCCTATATTGCTATAGCTTCTTATATTTTTAATTCTTGTTCTTTTCTAAATACTGTTAATTGAAATGATTTGTTGTGGAGTGAGGGGAACTAACACTAGCTATGTTTACAGTGTTTATTATAATGTTCGTAAACATTTCACGTCGGCATCAGGCCTATTTCTGAATGAAAAAATAAAATGCGACTTATACGCGACTTATGTTTTTTCCCCCTAAAAAACTATTTTTTTTATACACGTAGCGTATTTTAACCATGTAGCAAACCTTTTTAAATATTTTGATAAATTACTGAAAAAACTTTTCTAAATACTGTTAATTGAAAGGATTTGTTGTGGAGTGAGGGGAACTAACACTAGCTATGTTTACAGTGTTTATTATAATGTTCGTAAACATTTCACGTCGGCATCAGGCCTATTTCTGAATGAAAAAATAAAATGCGACTTATACGCGATGTATGAACCGGTATACCGCCCAGCACTAATACGATCTATAAAAACCGTGCAGGGTCACTTCTGTCTGTGACTTATCAGTGTCGGGAACACACAAGGTTGATAAAACTTACTGATTCCTTTGGACTTGGGGGCGATTTTTTCCATGTCTTTCAGCTGAAACACATCTTTCTGGAAGGGGGAAAAACAATCTCATCTTTCAGAGTTTGAGATTATATTGAACTACTAGAGAACCGTGTCAGACATGGACACAGTCACGCATCTATAGGCTCACTGGATTCATATACAAGAATATGAAATCAAGCATACTTACAGTTTCAAAAAATATCTCCATCATACGACTCCTTTTCTCCTCCAGGCTAAGTCCTTTCTTTTTAGACTGTGGAGTATAAAAGAGAAACATGTTTCTGTTAGATAAACAAAACTAATTCAGGTGTCATTATTGAATAGGTGTGCTGTTTTTATCCTTATCTCTGAGAGAAAAATAAAACATTTTGCTGACACGAGTGTCTCGTTTCTGATTCTTTCAGACTGTTTGTTTTAATGGATTGGTTCAAAAACGATTTATCTCAAAGCTACGGAGGATCAAAACTACAATAAATAAATAAATAAACGTAATACGAAATATATAAAGGAATAAATTACTTGCTAAAACAAATACAATTAATTCTTAATTAAATTTAGACCTGAATTTATTTTTGCATTCCTTTCCCCCCTCAATTTATTATTTTTGAACAATATATATATATTTTATTATTATTTAAATTTAACTGTATTAATTTGTTTTTATTCTTTCATTTATTTATTTTATATTTATTTATGTGTTCATTTATTTTTAATATGTATTCATTCCCTCGTGTATTTATTTCCAGATTTAAGAACTAGAAAAAGCTATAAATGACTTACTAAATCAAATACAATTCTTAATTAAATTTTAATTATTTTTAAAAATAATTGTAATTTTTTTATTTTATTTAACTGTATTAATTTTATTTTATTCTTTCATTTATTTCTTTTATATTTATGTGTTCATTTATTTTTAATATGTATTTATTCCCTCATGTATTTATTTCCATATTGCCACATTAACGTCAACATTCTTTTTATTTTATATCAATATATTTTTGTATTTATTCTTACATTCAGTCTCTTGTATGATAATTAGGCTGCTTCGAAGCAAATTTTAAATATATTAAGATGATCTTCAGGATGAAGACTGACTTTGATATTATCAGATTTTATCAGTTGTCATAAACATGGTTAATAAAAGTTTGCAAAAGTCGTGAAACCTAATTTCAGTCGTAATTAAGCCCATCCTGATGTCAGAACATAACGTAGAAGTAATGTTTAAATTAAAATTTAAAACATCCAAGCGTTCTGAATGCTTAGTTGTCATCATATTTGCTATATTCGAAGAAGCTAACGTTACATGTTAAGAGAACAGGAACTAACAATGTTGTAAAATAATGTAGTAAAGACGTCACACATTTCTGCAAACCCTAGTATGGTTTATTCGTATAAACGACTCTAAACAGTAACAGAAGTAATAGAATTATTAAATACAGAAATCACGTTCTCACCATGTTCCAGTCGAGCAGCTTGAGTTTGGCGCCAGATGCGAAGGAAATCTCACTGCGCATGCGTGGTGCTACACAGGGTTGCCAGGTTTTCACAACAAAACCCGCCAATCGCTGTTTAAAACGAGCCCCAAACTAGCCCAAATGCGTTTCGAAGGGGGGGTGGTTGTGTCCCTGTTAAAAATCGCGTTCCGGGGACTAAATATCACGCTGTTGGTTCAACCCGCGGACATGAAAAATAACTCGCTGCAACAGTGTTAAAGTAGCTCAGTTACGCGTGAAAACCGCGGACCTGGCAACACTAGTGCTAGAGCGCATGCGCGGCAGTTCATTTCTTACCTGTAGGGGCCAGTTACATAAACATAGCCACCTTTTGCCTTAAGAACTAGTTTGACTAACTAGCTAGTCTTACTTTTCAGATTCAAATTAGACCAGTTTAGGTTTTTATGTATCTGACTTTAAAAAGTTAAGACCAATCTTGCATAAAAAAAAATGTGTCTAAATTTTAAGCAGTTTAGGATGTAGTATATTCGCAAACAAAACAAAAATAGACAAAAATAGAATATTGTAGTTTGGTCTAGTACTGAAAATATTATCTATGTATTATCTATTATCTACTAAATAGCTATTAGTTATTTAATAGTAAATTTATTAGCACTTATGCATTGCCATGACTTTATGTTTGTCTCATGCACAAACAACATCTGGGGACAGTTGCATAAACATAGCCACTATGTTAAGACTGTGTCATAAGAACTAGTTTGACCAACTAGCAGCTAGCCAAGAGGTCAGTCTTACTTTTCTTATTCTTACCTTTTTGTAACTGACTTAAAAAAGTTATGACCCAGTCTTGAAAATCTTGCATAAAAAAAATGTGTCTAAATTTTAAGCAGTTTAGGATGTAGTATATTCGCAAACAAAACAAAAATAGACAAAAATAGAATATTGTAGTTTGGTCTAGTACTGAAAATATTATCTATGTATTATCTATTATCTACTAAATAGCTATTAGTTATTTAATAGTAAATTTATTAGCACTTATGCATTGCCATGACTTTATGTTTGTCTCATGCACAAACAACATCTGGGGCCAGTTGCATAAACATAGCCACTATGTTAAGACTGTGTCATAAGAACTAGTTTGACCAACTAGCAGTTAGCCAAGAGGTCAGTCTTACTTTTCTTATTCTTACCTTTTTGTAACTGACTTTAAAAAGTTATGACCCAGTCTTGAAGAAAACAAATGAGATGACTAACTTTTTAAGGCCCCAGGTGTTAAGGTCTAAGACAATGAAGTTTTATCAGTAAGAGTAGTTCCAGATAAAACACGTACGTCTGCACCATGTCTGTTAAAGATCGGTTCATCTGGAAAGCATCTGCTGTGTACAAACATCTGACAGACGTCTGTAAGATGTCAGTTTTACATGCATAAACATCTTAAAGACATCTTCTAAACATCTATTGGACATCTGATAGGAAACGTCCTATAGACGTATCGCAGACGAGCAAACGATGATAGAAGTAGAATTATAGAAATACTGAAAGAATTTACTTCTCTATGTTGGTTTTAGACCCAACAAAGTCATATGTCAACAATATCTATTTCATTCATATATGAAACCTTATTAAAACAACATATAACCCAAAATGCTGTATGTTTAAATAAGTTTTTGGAATATTTTCTTTTAAATACATGTCTATCTTGTATATTTATGATATCAACATGTCAGGTTTTAGGATGGATATACATGACATATAGGCTAACCACAAATGTATATGTATATATATGGATCTCCTCATATGACAATACATTATATGTCATATATGGAAATATAATATGTGTACATATAGTTTACACTTGTGTATGAGGTTAATTAACTTGGCAGTATTTGCAATACTGTTTCCAAAACTTTTTAAATATAACTGAATACTGTGATTTTGTTATTTTCTTGCAGTAACACATTTTTTTGCTAGATTATAGTTTATCTAACATATCTAATATTTCACTCCATGGTATTTGTATACTTATATATTTGCAATTGCACCCCCCCTGTGAAAGGTAGATTAATAATTGTAACTATGTATCCTGATAATGATCAGTGTGTGCATCATGGGCCTGACAGCATCAGTTTCTTAACATCCAAATGCTCCACAAATCTAGATGTTTACATTTTTAAGCAAGAAAGCTGTTTTGACAGTGACACACTGATACACTCAAACACTTTACATTCTCTTCCTACTTCAGTCTGTTTAGAGTCTTTGAGTTTAAAGCTGCCTGTGTTTACTCAGCTCTTTTTGCACTTCTCTTTTTTCCCTCTGGTTTTCGGTTAGGTCACTCCATATATGCAGGAATGCGTTACTCAGGCACAGCTTGGCTTGTGGTAACAAGCTCACTGCTTGATTGCATCACATCCGAGGGAGAGAAGGAGAGGTGAATCAGGTCTGAAAGAGGAAGCAGGATGTCATGAAGGCGTGTTAGTCACAATGCAATGAGTCTGTGTCTCTGTCTCTGGGCCAGTGCTTCCACCGAGGACTCTGGGAAATGAATCTTACACTATTCCTGCTTTTGGCATTGACTGCTAGCTGGACTGGACTTGGTAGGTGATCACAGTCGTAGATCATTTTTGCTTTATATAGAATCCTATCTCTCTCTCTATCTCGCTCTCTTTCTATTTTTCCCATTCATTTACAGTCGCTCTGTTCTGTCTGCTCTCTTCGTCATTTTAGACTAATGACCTGTCGTATCAATGGACCACAATGGACAATGATAAAGTAGAAGACAGAGTGATCACATTACGTTATAACTAGTTCTTTGACTCATTTTGTTGTTTCTGGTTTCATGCAAAGCACAAAACAGCTCGTGTTTGTTGACGAACAGGGATAATATTAATTCAGGACACATGTATCTTCCTCTTGGTTTATGGCAATCATTTCCTCGTAGCTGATTATTAGTTTCCTCCTTTTTACCTTTGAATTTTGATATTCAGATATTATGTTATGAAGATTATGTTTTAGTTGAGACGATGTTGGTAACACTTTACAGTGACACTCACTTTCACTCTTATGTAATTAATGGTATATTTATAAATTAAAGTAAGATTATTTTGGTAACACTTCCCAGTGAGGTTCTGTGTGTTAGCATTAGTTTATTAGTTCCAACACTTTTATGACATTTAGTTTCTACATATACAATTTAAACAAGTCAACATTAACATTAGATAATGTTTAATGGACAAACATTAATTACTGTATATATATTGTTCAATGAACCATTAAATGAACCCATATTAATAAATGCTGTTCTTTGTTAGGAAAAAAGGACAAGGAATGTTTGTAATCTCTGGTATATTCAGATAACATCTTTCTTCAGAACTGAAACAGGCCTCAACTGAACCTCAGTATAAAAATCTAGATAAAGTCACTTCTTAAATGTGTAAAGTAATTTAGTTGCATGTCATTACAGTTCAATGTGAAGACAACGAAGAGCCCGAGGGAGAGTTTGTCTCTGAAGACTGTGAGTATATCTGCTTTAGGACACCTGGTTTTTATTTGATGTAGACGTTTCCAAACACATTGTAGACTACTGTAATCTACTTTCTTGTGGTCACTGCAACACTCTCAGAAAGCAAGGTGCTAAAGCTGTTACTGGGACTTTGCAAAAGTTACAAATATGTAACATTTAGCTATTAATATGTACATTTTAGGCACTAATATAAGGATTAAATAAGGTGCAAAGGTGCCGTCCCATGGACCTTATTTTTGGAAAAATTATTTAAGTTTGAAGCAATATTTTGTACATTATGTCTGCCATAGTTGTCTATAATGTTTTTGTGTTTGTTTTATGTTTCACCTCCACTCATAAATCTGATCTGTTTCTACACTGAACAGTGTTAGGTCCCAAAGCAGACGGTGAAGAAGAAAACTCAGGTAAGAATTAGTGGTTAGCAACTAGAAGATATAATTAGGGCTGGGCAATATATCAAATATTAGCGATATTATCATGATAATAGAATGATTGATATAGAATGATAGAATATCTTGAATTTCATTCCTCCTGCTAAACTAGCCAAGAAGTGCTTATAGCAACTAGTTTCTTATCTGAAAGAGTTGTTAGTGGTAGTGTGTCATGCCACAGAGCAGAAACCGTTGATAGACTTGTGTTCTTGGCTGTGAAAACCCATGAAACGTTTGCATAATTTACCCCACAGTGTACAATGTAGTATGTGAATTGCATTGCTCTAAAGAAGCTGTCAGAATGCACTTTTTGTACCGATTTCACACTTTCTTTATACACAAGAAGAAAAGAAATGAGTGGACACTTAGTCTTAAAATGTGTGTTTTTGCACAAAACGTTCTGAATGATAGCTGTTCTATCCAAATCAAATATTTGTTTAATTGAAGCAAAAGAAAGTCACCTTTTAAAATTATTCTACTGCAAATGCAAAAACATATATATTTATATATATATATATATATATGTATACTCGTCAAAATTTGGAAAGATATCGAGATATCATATTTTACGTGTATCGCCCCGTCCTAGATATAATATAATTTCCATGTACTAAGCGATTTATAATACACCATTCAAAACTTTGGGGACAGTAAGATTTATTTGTTTATTTATTAAGAAATTAATAATTTTATTCAGCAAGAATGCATTAAATTGATCAAAAGTGACAGTGAAGACATTTTGTAAAATGTTACAAAAGTTTTTTTTCACATAAATGCTATTCTTTTGAAATTTAATCAAAGAGCAAATAATTCTGAAATAAATGTATTACGGTTCCACAAAAATATTCAGCAGCACAACTGTTTTCTGAAGATCATGTGACACTGAAGACTGGAGAAATGATGCTGAAAATACAGCTTTGATCACAGAAATAAATTACATTTTAATAGATATTCACATAGAAAACAGCTATTTTAAATTATAATAATATTTCACAATATTACTGTTTTTTTTATTTTTTTATTTTTTTATTATTAAATAAATTCAGCCTTGGTGAGCAGAAGAGCGTTCCTTCAAAAACATTAACATAAAAAAAAATATTAACCTGATGTAGCAAATATTATTG